TGTTGGTTTTAGCCACTGTGGGTTTAACCTTGCTTCTGCCATTTTCAGCAACACATTTCGGTCGGGTTCAGGGTCCTTGCTGACTTCAAGGACCGATGCTGATCGTACTTCAAGAGCGCCCACCCCCAACCCAGCCGTGCCTAAAGGTTTAAAGGACACTCGTCCACTTTCTTGGCTGTGCCTTCCATCTCCGCCCAGTCACACTGGAAGGTCGATGAGAAACGTACGATGAGTCACGTGTGTCGTCTTCAAGAAGTGGAGCGGTGTAGCGCTGTGCTTCACGCTTTGTGACACTAGGTTTATGTGTTTTCAACTTGTCCCAGTGGGGGCAGAATAACTAAATTACCAAAGTCACCCAAAGCAACCTTTGATGTTTGCAGGTACCACTTGGAAACTGACAGCACGTGCTTTAACTACGTGGAACCGAACGTGCAGGATAGCCCCCTTTGTCCTGGATAGCCCCCTTTGTCTGTGTATCAGACGCGCCAACTTCCTAAGTGTGGGCGCAGAGAGTAGAGATCTGACCTCTCGACATGAGCTTAACGGAACGGACAGAATGGAACAGATCAATGGAAGAATGAACGGACAGAAACTTCTAAGTGTCTCAATTTTTGTTTTTCTGTGTGTGCCTTGTGAGAGAGGGCAGGAATGGAACAGAAATGAACAGAATTTGTTTCGAATGCAGATGGTGCGAAGTCTCTTTGCACAGATGTAGATGCAGCCGTACATTTGGCCATCTCCAGCTGTGTGAAGCTTGGACTTGGCATGCTTGCTGGCTATGCGCCAGTAGCAAAATCGAGTTTTGGGCATTGCTGCCCATGATGGGTGTGGAGTTGCTACATCCTTGCCATGTAGCTTGGTGGGATTTGGATGTTGCACCAAAACTCAATCCTCCATCAGCTTAGATTATCTCACTCCGTGGCTGAACTTAACTTATTTCAGTAGCTCGCCTCCAATCGAACATGCATTTACCCAATTCCACAGGTCCCTGGACAGTTTGTTGATGCTTTACACACTTCCCAGAGGGTGCAGCACTATACTGAGGTACCAATATCTTCCATTTCGGTTCTATAGGCATTACTACGGTAGTGTATTCCAGGTATGCTTGGGAGAGACTGCCTGGTGAACAAGTCACCTCACGCCATCAATCCTTCCCCCCTTGGTATGTTATAGCGGTGTTGAGTGCCAAGGCTGTACCAGGCGACCTTATGCCTAGGGTCCGAGGCCAACAGCTCTTGAGATTTCTTTGTTATGGCCATTCTTTGGTCACACGTTATCGTAGAAAGTAAAAAGGCAGGCACAAAGACATCAGGGACACCAGCAAAAGGATTTTTGCTCTCCCTGCTTGCAAGCCCGAGATGTGTACAAACCCATATGGAATTTGTTCAGTTGCTCATGTAGAAAGCATGGTGCGTTGCAGAGGCAACACCCATACGCTGGAGCAGCTCATTGTTCAGCTCAATGCAGTCCAATAGAACCACACCGACACCCGAACTGGAGGACACGGATTTTGCGCACGACTTCCTGCTGTGACTTGTAGGACAAACCAGTCGTGCACAGCACTTGCATCTATGCAGGTGAGCTTTTTATTTCGCCTGGGGTCAATCATGCAAGGCCCAGAATCTCAAGGACATCTGCGTTCTTTATTTTGCACAAGTGCCTTTGGTGTCGGTTTCCGTTGATCTCCCGTTGATCTCCCCTGGGGTCGTACAGAATGTTTGACCTAAGGCAACACCCTTTGTCTCTTCCAGTCCGCATCGGCTTGAAGCATTGGAAGACGAAGCGAAGCAGAAGCGGTCGTCCGGGGGCGACCCCAAGAACGAACCCAACCGGTGACCGGCTGTCCCACCGTTGGTCTCAGTGCCAGGCGCCGATGCCTGGCAGGGGCATAGCATGGATCATCATGGATCGTTGTTCTGCCTTTTGGACATTATAAGGTGCAGTTGCTTGAGGAAGGGTAAAGGTTTCGATTTGAGTGCTGAGATGTGTTGAGTTGTACTTAGTAATCAGTAAATATATGTACTTATAGTATTTCTCACGTGTTTTGGTGCAGGGCTCCCTGTGTGAAGACTCCAAGAGACATTCTTTCCATTTGTTTTTCATATGAATTACTTTCAGGAGTGTGCGGAGTGCGCTACTGGAAGCATTTCGCACATGCATTTTGTGTTCTGGATCCTACGGGGCTCCAGGAAGTTGGGGCAGCCGTACATGGTCACCGGCAAGCACCTGTTCTAGACGGTCAATTTGGGTGATAAAATAGGTAGATGTTAGAGATTTCGTGAAAATTCCGATCAGCTTGGATTCTTGTTTCTTAGCACGCAAGTGATATCGTTTTTTCCACCCATATTTCTCCCATTTCTTGACAGTCCCGTCTCGGGAACGAGTGAAAGTTAGTCGTGGGAGGACTGCGGCCAAATGATACTGGGACGGTAATCGGAGCCGGGTAGTTCGCCCTCGGAGTTTCAATCGAGACCTGGTAGCATACCCGTGAGTTCGTCAGGGGCATTGGAGGGCTTGTGACCGCTGCGACTTGTAGTCACAGGAAGTACCCCGCTGCCTAAAACGGATGGATGTTTGTTGGATTTGTTGCTTGAATTAGCGTTGCTAAGCACGTGGTGTAGTGGATCTGGAATGGAGCCCGGCTTCATGTGTGTCACGAACTTGTTGTCTTTGGATCCTTGTTTTTTGCTGGGATGTTGCAGTTCATGCTTGTTTTGACCATTTTCGCCGGGTCATCTCCCGAAATCGACCTCCCGTGGGCTCGGGAGTACGGGACACTTCCATCCAAGACGACTCACATGGGGCTGTCCAGAAGTGCGCACAGAGAAAAGGCCGCTGACGTTTGCAGCTTCACTGAGATTGGGTAAAATATGGCCGCTTTCGTGAAAACCTCACCCAGCAAACATCACCAAACCATTAAAGATTGACCTTCTTGAAAGTCTTGACATCCCTCATAATTAGAGAACATTGTTAATGTTCGATGGTCAACCAGGCCCCCCTGTTTTGACCAACAGCCATAAACGCATCGGCGCACAGGTGCTGTATTCGGCGCCGAAACAAAAGCCAAAGCGGCCGGTGGCCGGCGTGCGAAAAAGTGGATTGCGAGTGCCGAGTGCTTGAAGAGCCGGTCATGGACTTTGAAAGCCCTGCCTCTCGCTCTCACCAACAAACCATTTTGTAGCATTTCATTCGCAGGCTTCCAGTCATATAAGGTTTTGTGCTTGGGTAGGCCGCTGCTTTGTGCTGGGGCTAGGGCATTTCCCGATTTACGCACTCCACACTCGGAGCGCATACAGTGTCAAATAAGCACAGCTGCACATCACAAATACAAGCGGTGGATTGAATATTGTTGTTCAAACACCTTGTGTTGAGCATCCTGTGACTTCGAGTCATTGTGGTAGTTGCAGTGCAAGGTGCTCAAAACAACGCAGTATCAAGGGTACTGTTGTTATCTGCGGGAAGGAATCACACCCCAGGGCCCGGCCACAGGAACGCTACATCCATGTCACAAGGTCGCCGGCGTCCGGCACACATGGTCCACCGGCAACCCGGATAGCCCCCCGGTGTCCTCATCCAGAAGGACGCGATGGCCCGTTCTGTTCTCGCTCATGTTTCGTTTGACTCATAAGCAATTCCGCGGATGTATATATATATATACATGCGGTTTTTAGTGCAGAGGTTTTTAAAACCATTTATATAGAGCTGAGAGTCTTGCGGCATGAGCAGTGGACCTCCGGACGCCTCACATGTCGGGTTTCCCCACGTTGACAGGTTTCCCACCATTGGGCAATGAGCAAGAACAACTCTGATTTGCTGTTCCTCCATCACTTTCAAGATTGATTTTGACAAACCACCCACAAAGGACATGGAATGGTATGATGTTCAATGACAGCTAAGAAGGTCAGGGGAGATAAGTATTCACGGTGAACCATTAGAAGAACCAGATTGTTTGCCTTTGATGTGGAGGCCTCGGGATGTTGTATGTATTTTACAAGGAGTTAAGGCTGGGCAGATACAAGATACAACATAATGAATCCACCTGGCACCTTTTGAAACACCTTCAGCCTTTTTGCAACAACATGCGCGCTTCATCATGTTCCATGAATCACCCTCAAGGGCCACATTGAAGATCCCTTCTTGCAGAACAAGCGGAACAAGTTCGCAGTGATTGGAATGGTGCAATATGCTGACCATCGATGAGGAACTGCCACATCCCCTATGCCTAGGCAGAATCTCGCAATATAACCACGACAACCAGATGTTTTCAGGGGTCGCCTTGGGCCTTGTCCAATCCAAATGCCACCTCACATTCAATGTCCAAGTCAGCGAATTGTTGGACATCACAGGCTTCCGGAGTTTCAAAGCTAGAGCTTTCCATGGCTTTTCCGGGCTTGGTGTGCAACTGTTCGGAGTGTCAGATATTTCTGTGCGTTGGCACACGAGTGGCACCGATGCGATGCACGAGCCATGTGCTTGACTTTGGCGGCCACAGAACAGTGTCCTCCGCCAAACAACCTGACGACTGCCCGCCTGTGCGACCGGCTTTGTCCCGAGATATTGAGTGGTTCAACCAGCGACATCAGCAGAACATGAATTGCAGCACGAGGCAACTGCTGAGAAGGCGATAGGTAAATGGAACCGGTGTTGTCTTAAACATGTTTGCCTATAGTATACTGTTACATGGGTTGGATGCTTTGACATTAACTTGCTCACTTCGAAGCAACAAGGAGCAGGTAGTGCCTGTTCATCCCACATGCCTTGGGTTCAGCTCTATGCACCTGCAGGACCAGACAATTCAGGGATCTTGGCACCAGGCCTGACTTGTTCTCAAGGTTTTGCGCTAAGCCCCTACAACACGGGTTTTGGATGATGAAGATGGCAACTTGACACAGTGGTTGGTGTGAGTTCCTTGTTCAGGTGTCAGACAATCAAAAAACGGATTGCACCTCCCAAAGAGAGCCAGTCCTTGCCACTGCCCAGTCCGATCAAGTGAGACCGCCATGGCAAGAGGGAAAGTTGCTAAAAAGGTGAAGAAGAAAGACAAGGTGGGGCATGGTGGGGCATCATCGCCTGAGAGGCAGAGGAAAATCACAGAATTTCCATCAGGTCACACCGACATGATGGAGTTCCTGCCGTTGCTCACCGGGGGAGCAGATGTCATGAGATGGAAGAGTTGAACACACACACACACACATATTCATTCAAAAACACCGGCGCAGTGTGACACCCACCACCTGGTCTGGGATGATTCGACTGATTGTTTTCGTTCATGCATAGCTTCGCCGAAAGCTTTGTGGCACGTGTGGCTCCCTGGAATGCATCTTAAAGGACCACAGGTCGTATCCAGATGTTGCAAATGGTGGGGTCACGCAGAGCCTAAGGGGGGCTTTTTGGATTTTTCTTGACATTTGGGCCACTAACCTACTTTGGGGAGGCTCCTGCGATTGCTAGGACCCTCTGATATCGGAGGCTCACAATGAAAGAGTGATACTTGGACTTGGGCTCATCTTGGATCTACATCGATACATAATCTTCTTACAGTGGTTTCAGAGTAATTAGATGGCACAGACTTCAAAATGTCCTTTACATGGCGGTTCATATAGACCACCTCTTGGGGTCTGTGCCATCTACTCTCAATCCACTATTATAGCATTTCCTAATATTTCTTAGCCCCTTCAGCGGCTAAGACCGATACATGTCGAAGAGGAAAGTGGATGTGCTTCACTAGATGTTAAAGGCCAAACACCTCGAACACCTACAGTAGCCCGGACCAGGGTGCAGATGTACACCAGTATGTACACCCTCTAAACTAAATGCAGAGCCAAAGCAAGCAACCAACCAACCCACCAAGGGCTGGCAAACTGCTGGTACAGAGGGGCTCTGGGCGGATTCGGCCCTTCGTCGAGGCGTGGAGCAATGGCCGGAGGAAGTTCAAAGCGCAGGATCCGGTCTACCGTGGCATGAAGATCGACGAGCAGCCACTTGGTCTTCTCTTCGGAACGGTCTGGTGGAGAAGGTGCCGAAAGGCACAGCCGCGCAGCCCGTCAGATGCCTAAACGGCTAGGACAAGAGAAGAACCTGTCCAGTCCGAGTGTCCCAGACCTAGACTCAGAACATCTCAGAAGTCAGAAATGATGTGAAGCTCACTTAATTAGTAGCCCATTCAGGAACCCTGGGTGTGTATGTGTTTTCTGTAGGCTGGTGGCCATGTTCGGTTCAGAGTCAGATGCCAGGTGCCAGGAGTTCTTGAAACATCACGCATGCCAGCGTGCTGCACATGGGCCTATACAGAATATAAATATATGATGAGCCTGCCTCCATCCACTCCAGTTTCAAGGGGGAGAGAGGTTTCTTGCAGAGCCTTTGGCTTCACGCGCCCAGGATGGCACATAAGGCGAAGAAAGAGCGGTGTCGAGCGCCCAGAGGACGGCCTTGGGGGGGTGGTTGGAGCAAGAGAAAGAAGGACATGTAACTACATCCAAGTTCGGATGATGTGTTCAGATGGCATGCCGCAAGTAGATGTGAGGCAAGCAGATGTGGGTGTGAGTCATCGTCATCTACTTTGATGGCACTTTAAATGGATCTTCGGCCGGTAGGCTCTGCTTATGGCCTAGAGCGACCCAGTTCTTTATATTTCGGCTCACGGGCAGGGCCCAACATCATCCGCAGCTGCTTAGTGGCTGAGATCAGATGCCAAGTTCTTAGGGATTTGCCCCTCACTCCAGGGCCCGGCTGGGCCGTGTGACCGATGACTTGGTGGCTTGGTGGTGGGAAATAGGTCAATCCTGGTCTGACGCCGTCCGGTCACCCATAGAACCTCGGACGTGAAGGGTGTATACGGTTGTCTTGGCACCCTCTCCGTCTGCCACACCACTGCAACCTACACAAATTGATTTAGAAGACTGGATGAAGGTTCCATAGGCGTTCCATCGGCGTGGAACCGTGTGTTCCTGCCAGTTCCACGTGCCACCTCGCAGGAGACAAGGATGCCATGGACATCCCGCCCTTGTTTGGATCGATGTTCGGCGGGGGCAAGGAGAGGTGGTGCCGTTTCTTCATGGGTCGCCGTGGGTTTTCCAGGGGTGAAGTGACTGCCGTGACAGGGCACATGTCACATGCTGGATGTGTTTTAACAGCAAGATCTACTACCAGAGGAATGCCGCCAACATCCGCCAACCCAACATTTCGACTGGACTTAACCATCGTCAAGTCAAGACGATTGTGACTTTGTTACCCTCAGGTACGGGGACAGGTAATTCGGAAGATTGCAATTATGAGTGTTGATTCTTTGGCCATTTGGACAGGTTGCTAATTGATTTGATCATTGAAGTTGAGATTGTAGGTCCCATCTATACTATATTGTAATCATTCAAGTTGGGCATCTCCATAAATGTTGATGGCTGTCCCATCTCCCAAGGACATGCTTGGCAGCGAAAAGGCCAAGACGAGGAAGGAGGAGGTAGAACCGGAGAAGAGGAAGAAGTCGAAGCGGAAAGGGCAGCAGACAGAGGTGGGTCACAGAAAGATTACAGCATGCACTTTATCATGTTACCGTGAGTATGACAACCCGTTGAAGATCTTGGAAGTGCGAAGGTGAGAACGCACTTTTTGTCCGTCTACACGTTCCGGATTACACATCCTTGAAGTCGATTTTGTGGGAGGTGATTTGTCACATTGTTGAATCACAACATGGATGCGATTTCATCACAGCAATCGGACAGTAGGTGGAACTCATCCGTCGGAGTGGCATTGTCCGTCCGGCGCAACCGCGCGTCCAGCGCCGAGTTCGCATCTGGCAGGATGGCCTCCCTGCTGTGCCGCTGCCGCCGCCGGTGCCGGGCTTGCCGAAGGGGATTCCAAAGGCTCCGGCCAAGACGGCGAAGGACTAGGGTCAAACCCATGAAATCTGTGAACCGCAAGTTTTAGGGTAAAACATGGTGAGACGAATTATGTGAGACTACAATGACCTCTTTCATCCCCTTTCAAAACAGTATTGGAAACTCTTCAGCGGGGGAGTTAGCTGACCATGTTTTGTTCAGCCTTTCATTAATCATCATGCAGTGTGAGACTGGTTTCAGGAGAATAATAATGGTTCTAGCCATTGTTTCCTGAATTTGCGACGGTCAGCTTTTCACTCCGGTGTTCTTTGCAGAAGCAGGTGGCAGGTAGCTCGCATGCCGTTAGATCCTATATAGTCCCGTGTAGTCAGACCAGTAATCCTGTCACCAAATAGTCGACTGTGCCGCTGGAAGCGCAAAATCCCTCAACACAAAGGCTAGCAAAGTCTGGTGCAGAAAGAGTTTCTAGGTCAGATGATGTGAGATCTGTAAGACTCTCTAAGAACTTCCTGCTGGTGTTCGGTGCGTTGGCTTCGACCCACTGATCAAGCGCGAGGAGTTGGCCTTGCCCAATCAGAAGCCACTGGAGACGGCTGGCGAGTATGCCAAGCGCCTGGAGCGAGAGGTCCAGAAGAAGCTTCAGGCCATGGGTTTGCCATGGTTTGCCCTTGGAACGCATCGTGGGCAAGTCTGAAGGCAATGCGAAAGGGAAACCCAGTTCTTAGGCAGCTCAGCGAGCCAGAACAAATTGGTAGGTTATCTTATCTTAGCATGAAATTTGTAGATCCCGGCTTCTGGTCCCATGCAGACGTTTTTTTTCACCCATGCCAGTGCAGTCCATGCATGCCATTTCATGTTCAGGCTCCCTGTGGATGTTGACAACACTCGTCTTGTCTACTTACTAGACCGATATAGGCCAGGCCATCACCCTGAAACCACCACTGTTACATTGGGCTTCTCCCGCGAGGTGGTTCAGAAGAAAGCCAGCACCGATCACCAGCGGCAGCGCCAGAAGGTCATCGCGTCCGGTCGACGGTCGACCGAAACGTGACGCGACGCGTGACGCAGCTGCGTGGCAAGTTATGGCTCTCAGTGGGGCAATAGCTTGAACTGACTATGTATGCGCACCAATCGGTGGTGTTTTTCTCAGTTCTGGCCACTTCCGGGGCTTTTTTTCACCACGGAGTCGTGCATTTTGTGGATGAATCAGATGGGCTTGGATCTCCACTGCTTTCAAGACACACTCACCTCAGCCTCAGGATGTATAACACAAGGGTTGCAGAAGCACATTGGATCAACAGTTCAACCTCAGCAAATCCCAAAACCAACAAATGACGTCACTTGCACTCCCCGAAACGTAGTCACCACCCGTCAGAGGAAATCTTCATCTCCCAACCTAGTCCATCCTAGTCCTGTTGTTCTAGCCATGCCATGATGTCAATGCCATTCTGCACATGCCAAGCCTCTTCCCTTGCACTTCCGAAATCACCCCACATCATCTGCCAGGAGCGCGTTAAGGCCGCCAAAGAGAAGCGCCGCGGCAAGGCCGCCGGCGCCGCCGCCGACGAGCCGCCTCCACCGGCGCCGCAAGTGCCGCGCTTCGGGGAGGTGGTGCAGCGTCCGCCCAGCTTCGGGAAGGATTGAGGGGGTTTGGGAAGGGATCCCACCAGCTGGAAGAGTGCAGCTGGGAGTTCTGGTGACACCTCTGAACTGCATTCAAGTGCTCCTTTTTCAAAGGACGGATGGTCCACTGATGAATCTTCTTCTCCAGTTTCTTCTCCCTGTTGGAGACCATCAGCGGCGCCCCCCCGTGTGCTGTCAGTGTGGCAAGCACCCCTCGCGCCTGAGGAGACGTTGAAATCTTTTGCGAAGCTGCAGCCGACTAAGACCAAACCCATCTCTGGAAGTTTGTCCGACTATGCCAACAAGGTCAGGATTGCCTTGATTCATTTTTTGAGTCTTCCCCCTGTAGAGGAAGTGATAGGAAGAGAATGTCCCAATATTAAGCGCCTGGTATGACATAACTGGTATCATTCATATACCTTCTCTTAAATCGTCGGTCTTCCAAGGACGATCCTTGGGTTGGGACCTTCCCTGGGTGTGTGGCGTTGTTCTGCTTATTCTCGTGTTTTTTTTATTTGATTTGGGCCATGTCGATCATTCATCATCCGATGATCGGCCCGGGTATACCGCGCTTTGGGGAGGTGCGTGATGCATATGAGGAGGTGAAGAAGATCCTTGGAATCCAAGGAGCTTGGAACCAACAGGTCATCAGTTGGGAAGTTAGGCTCGAAACAGCCACCTAGGAGACCTGGGAGTGCTGCTATGGACGCCACAATTCACGGGTTTCTTGTTTCAAAAACCGGAAGCGCCATTGGGTTGTGAGCAGAAGGAATTTGGCAAACTGACTCCTTTGTCATGCAGTTCAGTTCCTCCAAAGGTTTGTATGGACTTGCTGTGCCTGGTGCCGTGCAAAATCAAAACAGAGGCAGCACGATACAGCATGGAACTGCTCTTGGAACATACAACACCCCAGCATCACTGCAACTAACCCCTACGACCTATACGACCCCTGTCGCCGGTCCGAGTGACTCGCGACCCTCTTTTCATCGCCCCCGGTCACTCAGGAAGCGTCGAGCCCAAGCGGCCAGCGCGGCCGCTGGCGCCAAACGAACGGCGGGCTCCAAGAAGTGATTGGAAAAGCACGAGCGGAACAGTCCGACCATGTCCGACCGGCGAATGAGCTGAGGGAAGTGATGATGGACATCTAGGTGGAAGAACAGCCGAACGGCCGTGGAAGCGCGTTTTCTTTGTCTTGCAAGAAGCATGAAGAAGATACCTTTGTGATCCTTTGTCGTGTAAAATTGTTATATACGCTGCATGATGTGGCATGTTTATGCATGTTTCTTCTGTGGATGCAAGTGAGTCTACAACCTTGCATTGGACGTGTCTTGTTTGCAGTTGTACTGCAGAAGTAGACGTTGCAACGCCTTGCAACTGCTTCCTCCCATTGCCCATCCAGTTAGGCTGCCTGTCACGCCTGTCTCCTGGACTTTCCGAAGACCGGGAAGTTCATCAACCGAGAGATTCATCTCTGGTGTCCTGACATGTCCTGACAAAAGTCTGGGTCGAGACACACTTCCACACCATTCTCAAAAATACAAATTCCAATTAACCAAGCGGGTCAGGTGCTTGTCCAGGTCTTTTTGGCCGAAACTATGTGGGTCAGCGGTTCCAAGTTGCACTATACTAATTGTCCTCCTCAACGCATGACTCGACCGCGTGGCCGTCAAACGCCCGTGTTTTTCCTTCGAAAGCAATCCGCGGGAAGATGGCCGCGCTGCATTTCAACGTGGTCAGTGCTTGCGCAGAAAATGTAGCGTGACTTCCTGCCCCTGCCGTCCAGACATTTGTAATCATGTAATATCATGTAGATGTGTTTTTGCCAAGCTTGCGATGGTTTAAGTAGGATTTGGGAGCCTTTAACTTGAGAAGTTTAGTGGGTCACTGGTTCAGATCGCAGATCAGGTTTAAGAATCGATAATCTAACTGAAATTGATGCGTGGTTTTTATTTGTAAGGCCCCTGGAAGCGCGACAGCATCAACCTCCGGCTCGCCCAGCTCACCCCGCCAGAATGACCAATGGGTGCCCTGGGAGGAGCTGGCAAAGCCGCTGGGTGCCCAGATTCTTTTTGTTCATGACCCTGCAGCAACTTGGTTTGCTCACTTTCGCACCTTCAGAACCCCTGGTTGGCAGTTACAGACCGGGAAAACACTGGGCACAGATCTTGCAATCATGATATTGGAGGGCTAACTGACCCCTTTGGGATTGAGACTCCGCGATGTGTTTTCCAAGATGGGTCCATTCCCAGCAATTTGAAGACGTAACGCAAAACTAACAATCAACAAAGAAGCAGAAGCGGGGAACCCAGAAACTCCATATGTGTCGAGAGCCACCCAACAAGCCAACCATTCTCAGGTCGATCGAAGCTGCGGCTGAGCGTTGGCGTGGGCTGCAGCTGCGGACTGTGACGGGCGACTTGGCTGGATGAGACGTTCCATCACAGCGTGGAAAGGGATCTCAAATGATGGCGTCATTGGAAGAGAGTTAGAGATACCTTGCGACCGGCAAACTAGAGCTAGAAGGATGCAGAAAAGGGTGGCATGTAGGCAGGGTGAGATGTTTGCTCCAGGTAGTGTCACAGAAGCTAGGTTAGTGGTCATGGCACTGAAGCAATGAATTGCATATATATACAACTTTGGTCATTCATGGTCATTCTAATTGTCAGCCCCTGCCAAGCCAAAGAAATGTAAAAGTGAAACAAGTGCGAAGCCTAACATCTGCCACTTGACATCAACTCTGACCACATGCCGTCATAGATGCATGCCTACAGTGTAGTTGCAAGAGATTCCAAACAATTGGTCAGCCAGATGATTCTTTTAAGTGTGGTTGAGGTCGTGGACATGTTATTGAGACTGGGCTGAAGAAAGGGTGGGGGAGGGGATGCGATTGGAACACCAGTGACTCAATAGCTTGTGGCAGGTTGCTTCCTGGTGTTGATGTAGGATCAACTGAGATATGTGTTGTTGATCCGTGCGAAAGAGAGGATGGCAGCCAATCAATGCTGTTTCCAGCTGTTTCCCCATATTCAGTAATATTCAGATATATTATATATTCAGTAGGAGCACCTGATGAGCCTGACACCCAAGCCATGAAGATCAGATGATATGAGTCCTTTCAAGGTTGTGTATATATATATATATATTATATCATATATATATATATGTATGTTGTGTATATTTTGTGGCTGCTATATTGTATTGTATATGTAGAACAGGCATTTCCATCATAGTGTCTATTCTATCATGTATGTATAAGCAGGACTGAACAAAGGACCATCTAGTTGGCACTTCCGGTTCCTGCGTTCCTATGATCAGAAACCGGAGGGAAGAAGAGACTCTGACCCTGGGAGGATTGGAGGCGACAGGACACGGGTCCCCGGTCCTTCTTCACTGTGTTTTTGGTAGCGAGGAACAATGGGAGGGCGACCTGCTGAATGAGTTCATGCATTCCTATGCCAAAGAGGCATATGATTAGATTTGCTGGTTTTCGGAGCTGCATGGATCATCGAAGCTAGGAAAGAAAAGGCCGTGACCACGGCTCCGTGACCTTGTTCGATCGAATCATACTCATTTCTGCCATGTGCTGGTGATGAACACGGTGAGTATGGAAAGCATGGCCCTTTTGTGCTGGGATTCTTTTTTCTCGGACCCTGGGATGTATTTTTTGGACTTCGTTTTGGACGTGTTTCATGCATGGACGTCATTTTGGGCTCTTCATCTTGGTGTGTTTGTTACACCTCGTCCTTTGACCTTCCTTTTGACCACAGCATTGTGCTGTGGATGATTCCATTTTGCGAAGTATGTTTTCTTTGATGCTTGCATTCAGAATGCCACCATGACAACGAACTTGAACTTCATGCAATCTTCATGCTCAGCCGGAGAAGGGGCTCAAAGATCTCAAAGGACCAAATCGGTAAGTTTACGGCTGCCCCCAAGCCCAACTATATATTTATAGACTGTATGGCAGCAATTCACGCCACAATGAATATAGAAAGACAAAGTAGCCAATCAAAGAACCATTCTGAACCCAGTCGAAACCAGGATCTTTGGAACAACATTTCCCGCTCGCCCAAGCGGGCAGTTTCATCCATGGCGGGAGAAATCAAAGTTCGACTTCAGCATCACAAAGACAGGTGGGGGTCGAACGATCCACCCGCTGAGAACCCGTTTTGATCTTTGCTGCTTCCACCCACCACGACAGGTGCTTCTTTTTTGGACGTGGGGATATGCATCCCACGGGCTTTGGTACAGAACGCCGGTGTTTGGGAAGTCTAGGATCAGAGATTCGCCCCGCATTTAGATTCCGGACGCATCACTACTACACAACGAGTGCCTGCAAAAGGTAAAGGGGTCATGCATCGAACAGGTCGGTTTAAGTTGGTTTGATCTGAAGAACATGCAAGGATCAGACGAACGAGACATGATGGATTTGGAGCTTCTTTAATTTCATTCGCGTAAGGATTCGCAGTCAACCCCCATGGGAGCATGGTGAAGTGTCTTTGTCCCGTTCCTTTTGTCACGTGAGAGTCCTGAAAGTTGAATTTGTAGACACGCTACCTGATGCTGTCCCATGCCATTCAAGTATTTGGTACCTTGTGAATCTTCTGAGAAATTGTTTTGCAACTTTCCTACGAGTTGAGAACCCTGGGACTTGTTGCATTCTTGCAGGTTTGAGGTGACCTTGCCCGCCACCAGCCGAGTGCTGCTCGGCACTCTTGGAGGTTTTGAGACTCCAGAGGTTTGCGGATCGGAATCAGATGTGGAATCGTCTTTCCTGTCACGCCTGTCATCTCTCTTGTAATAAAGGGTTGGAGGATGTTGGAGGGCTTGGATTCCGGATGGTGTGCGACACCAGACATCATCCGGTCACACAGCCAGCCATCGTAAAAGGGCAGAAGTCGACCAAAAAAAGTCGCGAAACCCACCCGTTGGGGGACACCGGTCAGCACCACATGACGGAGGCCCAGCTCGGTTGGACTCAGCGCGACTGGTCAGGTCAGCGCTCAAACAGGAGGCCTCGCGCTTGACCTCGGTCGAGCCGGGACGGCCGGGGTGCCCATCTGATGTGCCTTTTGGATCCTCTTGGGGTGTTCGCAAGAAGTGATACACTCATGATCACTCATACATGTTTATATTTGTTATACTTTAATTCTATTAATATGTAATTAGCATTAATTATATTAGTATGTATATTGTACATAGTCGTATAGTATTATATTTATCGGTATGTGCACAAGTGCAAATCCCACCTGACCTTGATCATATTGGGCGGCACTAACCTCCAAGCGGTCAAGTCTGAAGGCTTTCTGACATGCCAGAGATTTGGATGATTGGCCCATTTGTTCCTGGGTCTGGGTGCACATCAGGGAGCATGTGAATGCGTTGGTGTGGTCACCACGACAAAAGCTTCTTCAGGATGCAGAGTCAGAAGTCAACCGATGTTTGTCTTGGTTCATTGATAAAGTCAGAAACTTAATGGAATTTTTGCATTTGTCCATCCAGATGTGGGAAGTGTCTAGTATACAAGTTGTTTGGTCTTATGGCGTATGCAGATTCTTTCGGAAGCAGGTCAGAACTTCTTGAGCCCAGCTACTACCTTCATGGAAGAATGCAATTGTTGCGCAATCGTTGGTTGACATGTTGTTCCTATAATATGCTTTTTGCCACCCACACTCTTCAGAATCCACGCGAAATACGGCTCTGTGACTCAGGCAACGGCTGATTTGTCGCGGGAAGGCCATGGGAGTTTTTCCCATTTACGACCTTCTTCAGATGCACAATACACTGAGCTGGCTGGAGGTGAGCCACAGCTGCACAAGCACCAGATAGTTATATAGATTGATGATGATTGATGTTCATGATGAATATGGGAGAATCTTCCGTAAGCACCTGCTGTATATACACACATATATATATATATATACATATTTTATGGTTCCAGTGTTTCAGACCCCGCGCGCCCTTCATCCAAGCGCCCCAATGAGCGCCCGTCGGACCGGCAGGTGCTGGACGGCTCCCTGGAGCTTCAGACGCTGCTTCCGAAGGCGCGGCCGGCGCTGTCGGTGGATGAGGAAGAAGGAAGATCTGGGAGATACCGAAGCTGATGAAGGATATAGGGACTCATATGGAAGATGGAATCTCGGATTTACATACGTTTACGCTATAGCTGTGTTTATCATTCTTTATCTACATATGCCATCCAGATCGAAGTCCATCACGGGTTCCCAGCCATGGTGATTGGCCTGCTCATCGCGTCATGCGGTCAGGCAGGTGCTGAGCTCACAGTGATGCTAATGCCCATGGAATCCAGTGGCGACCAGGCGAGACCGAGATGGGAGGCATCGGAGAAAGATCTAAGGTACGGATGGGTTACATGGATACATACATGGTTCCAAACTCAGACTGTCCAATTCCCATAAGATAGGATTAAACAAATAATAGGAGTATCATTCTAAGTGGCTTTGCTCCAGCTGACCCGAGCTCCAGCTTGCCTCAAGCGTGTGCGCGAGGCCAGAAGGACCTGGCAGCACTACCAGCGGGTGCTACTCGCATGGCTCAGGAGCATTTGGGTTCCTCGGCACAGGGCAACGCGCTGCTCCACATGCGCGTTGCACCTGCACGTGGGCGGCTTGCCGTGTGTGAGGCCTTCATGTACAGTTTCTTCCATTCGCTCCTAGTGCGGACCTCAGCTGATTCAGAGTTTGTTCAGATTGCCACCAACAGCTCAATACTTCCAATTTCGTCTACGGGTGGTAGACGAATCGTTTTGGAGGCTTTTTGCATCTTAAAGTCGGAACCCACAATCACCAACCTACCAATTCTCGGTGGTTGCCACTAAATAGAGTGTTGACCCTTCAAGAAGCATGCCATGATCTGTCCAAGCTTCCAAGACGGGATCGTGGGATGCTATTGAGGTGTGGCTCCCCTATTTAGCACCAGCGATCCTCTGAAACAATCCATAACGAATTCAATGATGTATAGTAAGTATGATTGCATTGTATTGTACATCATTCATTAAGTTTAGTAAATATATACGAAATATATACGAATTATAGGACAGTGTATAGATAAACAGTTTGTAAACTATATATATATAGTAATAGTATTATGGCTCCACGGCTTTCAAGACTTGTTCAAGACACAGTGTTGTCTAATTCCAGAGCTATCATACCGATGGTCACCACGCTATAGTGTTGCTCCTCAGCCCTTTTCAGCCATCCCTGAGGTACCAAGCGCCTATGCGCCGTCCAAAGCTCACAAGGCCTTAGGGAAGCGACTGCGAGGTCCCTTCATTCATGATGCATTTTTCAGGGACGAAGTCCTGGGGAGTTTTGGAAGATGAAAGACTTCCAATATAGTAATACAGTACATGGGGGGTGAAGGGGCGACATGCTGGTCCAGACTGTGTCTTGCCCAAAGAGCCAGGCGGATTGCCTGCAGTCTACAGTATGAGACGATGGTAGAAGAAGTACCGATTAGGAAGGGTCCGGAGAGGAACAGGATCACAGATGCCAAACTGGGGAACTGTCTTGGATATTGTACCCCTTCTTGCTCGGCTAAAGAATTGTTTAAAGTTTTGTGCTCAAAGCTCCTTCGATAGTCCTGAACATGGTTGAACTGTTCAACCGTGCTTTTTAAAACGTTCAAAGAATTACTGGGACTTAATCAGCCTTGTTTCAATCAGAGGCCTTGAGCCAAACCAAAACAAGACCAGTAAGGAAGGTTTTATCAATAAATACCTGCAGTGCAGTCTGCAGTGCTGGTGTAGATTTAGTTCATTGTCTACTCTTTAGGCGTTTCATGCCTCATTGCCTACAAGATCCTCACCAAACTCATGAGTTTGGAGCTTGCAACTGGTTCCAAACATCATCCAGCGCGCGCAAGGAGCACCACACGGATGGCATCGATCCCACTGACCTGGCGCGTTTGGCAGCGTGTGGTGCTGGCGGCTGAGGTTAAGCAGGTCGCCTAGGCGTGGGTGCCATGTGTCGTTGAATAGATGGTATTGGCGACTTGGGAGGTGGACTGGCAGGCACTTTGGTATTGAAGATGGGATGTTTGGTGGATTTGTTTGGGAGAGAGAGATATATATATATATAGAGATATCGATCGTCAGTCAATGAAAGAGTTGGAGGTTCGTATTGTGAACATGATACTCCTCCCACTCAACATCGGGTGGGGAAAGGGAGCCCCCGTTTCTCGAGAAGAGCATCGGTGTCCAGAGACATTTTGGAAGAATCTTTGCTCCTGGTTAGATGACATCTCATCACCTCAAGACATACAAGACACAGATCAAAAGACATATGATGACATATGGATTATGCTGAAAGAGCACGCTCAAGAATGCACTCCGAAGTGGAACCACACCCATTCCACCACACGTGTGCCGAGAGCATACCATAACATGCCCATCGCATGTCCAGCCACTGGGAGGCCCCGGTGCCTGGGCGATCCCTCGCTGAGTTTCCGCAAAGCGTGCGAGTCACCAGTGGCCCAGACAAGCACAGACAAAGCGCATCAAACAAAGTTTGCAACAAAACGGACCGTTTTTTCTCGGAGCAGTCCCAAACAAAAAACACCTGAGATGAGAGATGTTTTTGTTGCAATAACCGATGTTGACTAGTTCCTTCAAAATGCAGCCGATGCATTTGCCATCGCTTCAGATCTCCACGTAGAGTTGTTCAACTCCTGGGCACACTGCGCGAACACGCTGGCAGCAGAATGTTGTTAGCTCTCCCCGACTGCGGATGACTTGTCACCATGTGGCCAACACTCATTTCAGAAGGAAGATCTGCAAAAATTATTCGGCCTGATTTTGGTTTGCGGTATGGTGCGCTACCTGCTGAGAAGCCACCTTACCTTCTGATACGCATCCGAATCGATGGGAAGTGATCACTCTGTTTTCGTATTGGCCATGCGGTTGGTTGGCAGGCCGGTTTTTGGTGGCAAGGATGGCAGGCGGAAGACGGGGCTTGAGTGCAAGTTTGGTGATTGGGGCTGCCTTTTTCCAAATACAGGTCCAGTAGACATGTGGGGAAGTGATGTTCATGGCTCATGACTCACCCTTCTTCAGTAGCAAGGGCATGCAAGAGCAATGCGCAGCTCCAAGCAGACCAATGTGACGATCACATCATGAGATGCCTGGCTGGGGCCAAAAAAAGAGAGCAACGTTGGGGGAGCATATCGCATTGCTGTTGTGATATGGCCGCGCGCTTCATGGCAGATATGCAAGTGATGCTGGTTGCCTCGTTTAGCACTACTGACACAATCGGTGGCAAGGAACCAGGTATGGATGGCAACAATCTGCATGCTTAGAGAATGGGTGATCACTTCTCCATGCATGGGCCCGGCCCTTGCAATCGCTGCTACTGCGCGCCTGAAGCCTACTACTAGACGCGCATGCCAATAACACACAAGGGGTCCCTGTAGCCGAAGTTCCAGCACTTAGCCCACGCAACACTGAGTGCAATGCCTGGCAAACTTTTGTTGGACATTTTTGTTGGACATTTGCACCTTCATAAGCCTTAAGGCTTACAACAGACCAGGAGCATGGCCGCCATTGAATCAACAAACCTGCTGCGCCTGCTGTAATGGACCAAGTTTGCCAAAACAGGCAGTGTAGTCTGGAAAGTTTCTTTGGCATTGCGCGAGGGAAGTTGAACCAGAGAACAGGCAGACATAGAGAGCACGGATTGTTGCACATAAAGCGGGGGGCATCCCACAACATACCAAGTCTAGGAATGGCAATGTCCTGAAACGGGTTTCTGGAATGTGGGGTGCGCAATGCCTTGACTTCTACATATTCATGGGTGTAATAGGCCGCAATGGCTGAATTGCAGGCAGGGCATGTTTGTTTGGCCGGAGGTGTTGCCGTTGTCCTTGCGTTGCCGTTGCTACTGGAATAGTTGTGAGATGTTGTGAGCCATCATTTCCATCAAAACTAGATCGTTTACAAGCCAGTTGCTCACGTTCTTTCTGCCTGTGTTTGCCTATACGGGTCAGTTGCAGCTCGTTTCTTTGCTTGGCTTTGTGCCATGTCCGTCCCTGTCGCTCATTTGAAGGACATCGACCCCCCAACCAACCCACGACCAGGTGGCTCCTTACATGTGGATCCTAGCTCCTCGGCAGAAGTTCCCAGTTGTCCGCCGCGGTCGTGAGCAGATCAGGACCTGCTTTGAGCTATCCTACGTTGCAGTTGACCGAATGGAAAAGATATTAAAGATCGCGGTAGCAAAGGGAGGGGTGCAGCCTACGGGATTCTTTTTCTGCATGTGCTACTGGGTTCGGTGGTGATTACTGGTCTGTTGTATACGTTACGTTGGAGTATACTTCCAACACATTCCAATACCGTGGCTTTGCCAAGCCTTTTGCCGCTCATGTCAGACCTCCCCCAGCGGTTTTTTCCCAATCCCGCTAGGCCTTGCCAGGCTTCTCGCAGCCTGAGGTCCTCTTCTTTCTCAGCCTGCTTCAACCCACCGAACCGGTCCGAAATGCCTTGGATGGACCCACCCTGGAGCCTGGGCAGCCGGTGCAGCCAACGGTGCAGCCAACGGTGCAGCCAACGCAGCCGCCAAACCAAACAGAGGCGCAGGGCAATACCCCTAAGGAGTGTTGGGTTTGTGCATCCTTTCGTCACCGGGGGCAACAGTCCTTGTGGCAGCATACTGTTTTGCGGATGGGTCTTGCTAGCATGACACGAAGTGCAGCAGTACCCTCACAGTTGTGTTTAGTTTGTGGCCCTTAGCGTGCTGTTTGAACGGGGCTCCTATATGAAATGAAGACAACCATTTTCCATGGTTTTCAGTTGCAATGCGCAGCCCTGCTCGAATGTTGGAAGCTACGTGGTTTACTCCGAAGCAGGCATTGTTCTACACCACGCTTCATCGTTGGCATGCCGACCCCACAATACCCAGTTTCGTAGCGTTAAATGTTCGAGTCACGACCCTTAAGAAGATGACTGACTTCCTCCACGGAGTAGGAATGGCGCCCGAGCACAGTGACTGAAGTGGGCAAGTGTTCCATCAAGCTGGGCGACCACTTCGATGCCGCATCCAGCATACTCTTGTGCCTTGGTCAGACAAAACTTGGACATGGAAATGGCCAGTTGGCCGAGATTAGATATATAGTGTCTTCTTCCAATGAGGGCTCTGAGCTGCGAGCTCTGCCGCAGAAAGAGTTTTGCAGGGAAGTCTTCGTGTACTCCATGGCCACCGAAGTCTTTTTACTAGCAGCAGCAGCAGCAGCAGTAGTAGCAGTAATAGGAGCAGTAGTAGCAGCAGCAGTAGTAGTAGTCGTCTCAAACCTGCTAGCTCCTTTAAGAACACAATTTTAATCAGTATCAACACCATATTGACCAGAATCCACTTTGAACACCCTTTTTCCGCATATGGCAAGATATCCCCTTTGCTACCGACAATCCAAAATGGGCGTTTGCTACTCAACAATGATTTATATGACTCGTTTAGTGTTAGTAAGAATAAATGCAATAACATGACTTCTGATCAATTTGAGCCGAGGAAGGTACAAGGTTTTCACGCTCAATCTATATTCTTGGCTGTCCGTCCATGTTTTAAACTACATTTGATATTTTTGATAGCTCATCAAAACTCTGTGTTTTAGCTATTCTTAACCGTCTAATGATTTTTAAGCATGCATCTAACCGACTACAACCAATTTTGTAATATATTTAGACAACTTTTGACTAACATGAGCGTGCTTGACCTCTCTGCTCGGTAGCAACTAGGGTTGCAAAATCAACTTTCCTCCAAAAAGCATCAGTATTGCCTACATGTTTACTGATTCCGATTCCTGCATTTGGGGGAATCGCGCATTTCCAGTTTCAATCCTACTCTATGTTCCTAGAATGTTGGGCATAATATGGAAGGGGTTCCTCCAACTGTAGGAGGACCCAGCCGCCGAAACCCGCAGCACATTGCCTTTAAAGCACATTAAAGAATCACATATGTCCAATTAAATAGTATACCGTATATAGATCGTCAGAATGTTCTCACTTCTCCATCCATCAAAGCCAGGCCCTTAGACCTGGCCTGGCTTTCGGGCTCTGCGTTGATCGCCTTGGCCCTGATCCTTTGGACACCTGATGGGCTCTCCACTAGAGCAGTGGGTGCCCACGGAGAGGCGCCGATGGAGGAAGGCGCAGATGAAGGCGAAGGTGGGGAGCCAAGGAATTTGTGTGAGGTTAGCAGGGAATTGGCGAGGCGAGAATATGCGTTTGAAGAGGTTGTTGAACATTCCTTAATTACATAAATTTGATTTTGCTGTGTTCCTGAGTGGTTTTCGGTGTGCCAGACTTGACAGACGAGGTGGAGAGGATTCAAGGTCACCGGACTCCAAAGATGCACCTGAAAGCACCTCAGGTGGGATGGTGGGTCAGTGGGACCAGATGGTGGGGCCCAGCTTGAGATGAGGACCATGTCTTTCACAATTCCTCTCCCAGGTTCCATGCACCATCGGCACGGTTCCAGCGAAGGCAGACATGAAATAAAGGATCCCTTTATGACTCTTTATGAAGGTTCACGTGAGTGCAAAGTGGCCTACCTCACTGGATGGAGACATAGACAACTCCTCACTTTCAAGACTCTTTGTGACATTTGTGCGCCTTCTAATTAGTAGTGGGCCATTTCGTGGTTCACAGATGCATGCCCGTACATTGGACGTGCTGCTCATCGCGCCATGCTTTTGGTTTTAAAGGTCATGTGCATTAATCAGGAAGGTGGGATGGGCAATCAAAGATGTCGCAAAACTGCACGTGTTTGGAGTAACCCGACATCATCACAATCATCCTGTTAGAAACCAAGAGCCACCCATTAGTGGCTCCATATGGCCGCACATGAGTTAAAAGTTCCACTCTTGGGGGGCCCATAGTCAGTGAAGCTCTGTAAGTTACTACTTCCATCGAACTACCGTGAGGTGCGGAAACAGTTCAACGCCCGAAGCTCGAAGCCATCGGTTGGCATCGGGTGGCCTTTGACTCGATCACCAGCCATGCTGCGGGCGGCTGGGCCGCATCCGAGTGCGTTGAAGTATGGGTGGAAACATGAGATGAACATATTTGGGTTATATAGCTGTGGTCAAAGTTAAAGTACCAAGGTTGAAACAGGCCATGTGTAGATGTGGATGTGGAGGAACCTATAGGTGTGGTTGGTATGTCAGGATGACCCATATCCTTTGTTCCGGTTCTTTTGACACACCATTGACGTGTAGAAACAGGAAGAAACAGGAGCTCCTGTCAACATTTTGCACATGCCATGGATCGCGGCGATGTCACCGTGACGTGGCAACACACGCTTCAACTCGCGCTCACACACGAGTTGAGTGCCAGAAATCAGGAGGTTTTAATGAGTTCTGAAAGTCCAAGCTGAGAGAAGCTGCAGGAGTACCGGATTGGAACTTTTGGGGGGGAGGACAGGCGGCCAGCAGAAAGAAGTGTGTCTCCTGTTTCTTCGTCCGCTGTATCGAAGTGTCGTTGTTTGTTTGGCAAGGCATCGTCGGCTTCATTGGCTTTCAAAAGATTGTCGTGGCCAGGATTGTGGCGCTCAGCGACGCTCGGCCGGTGTGAGGCGACAGGCGATGCCCACATTCCCCTTGGTGCACGCAGTCATTCCTGGGGCATCCTGGGGCAATGAGACGCATTAGACTCCCTCAGAGTGACTAGCTTCGTTGGTTCCACTGTAGAGCTGGAATACTTTGAGCCTCCTCACACGGTTGTGACTGCACAGGAATCCAAAATGACTAGTTGATGTATGTTGATGTGATTCATTGGATGATTCTTCCGCGCCCAGGATGCATGCGATCTGTGGTCCATAGAGAACATTTTGCTCTACACTACCCTGGCACTGTCCGTGGTGGCAGTTTTTGCCAGCTTCGTGTGCCCAAGCAGCTCACACTGGCTGACCGTCAAGCCTTCTGTGATGATTGCATGTCTAGTTTGTATGTGTATACATATATATATATTCACAGCGTAACTTGAAGCAGCAACTGCAGGCTACAACTTGAAGGGGCACCTGTGTTGCCATGCTACAATATTCCACACGCTGGACCTTGGGACTCACACTCTCAAGGGCATTCAATGAACTTCACACCCCTGTAGCATTAAGAACCTGGGAAAGTGTCGTTTCTTTTGGCACTGTGTTTTCAGAAAGCATAGTGTTGGGAAGACAGAGGAAACTTGTAGAAGCATGCCGTAAGCTGTTTTTGTACTGTAAAAAACAATAAATAAACAATTAAGTAAAAGAATCAATATAATTCAGCGAATCAGCGATGGCTAACGCATCAACTTTCTAACCCGCTAAAGAAACCTTGTGTTCCTTCTACAACATTATATATGTTTTTCTATGTTTTTCTTGACGTTTTTAGAGGTTTTGGCTTCCCTGCACTGAACCCAAAGATGAAGAGGAGTTGATCCACCGTGAACTCACGTCCGCGCCGGAGGTTCCTGGGCGTGGACTATGCGCGGCGCTTGGCGATCTATGCGGCGCAGCGGAAGGGCTATCAGCTCACGATGAAGCCAAAGGATCTGAAAGAGACAGGTGGGGTGACTGGAGGGGAAGATGGGTGGAAGATGGAGAGGATGAAGGATGTGCAACCTGAACAAGCACTTCCAGTAAGGAATTGGTGGGTTTTTGGATGGAGTAATATATTCCTAAGTATATGTTTGGTGTTCAACAAGGCCCTCAGCTTTGGAACATTTTGCTTGGCAAAAGGTGGTCTCCAAGCTCCCAGCGGACTTTCTCAAGCAACTTTTAAGATCCTCGAGAGTCATGTAGTCATGTTGCTTACCACGCCAAACAAAATGCTTGAATGGGCCATGTAGTTCCAAAAAACCACTGCAATTGTTCTTTAATACGTTTCCAACTTGTGACAGAACATAGAAACCCGAACCGGACCATATCGGACTCTTCTGGGACAGTCTGCTTCCACCGGTCGCACATGAATGATGATACACTAACTTTCCCTTTCTATCTTCTGTCCCCTTCAAAGTCAAAGGGATCTTGGATTCCCGCTGCTTCTCAGCTTCAATAGGATCTTGGATTTCCTCTACTTGTCACATTCTTCAGAGATCAGCAAAGGTCTTGGCATTGCCATCATCCTTCTTGGTTTGCTGATGCTGTTCCTCTATGGATGTGCCACCTGGACATGCCAAAAGGTTGTTTGGAACTCAACGTGTTTGGGAGATGCTGCTAAGATGCTTGGATTCAGGGGCTTCTTTGGGTCAAAGCTGAAGATTCTAGATGGGACGGCTCACCATGCACCAATCCATGGCCTTGCTAAAGGGACCAACCCTCCTGGTAGAGGGGAGCTGTCCTTTGGTCCCAGCCCCACACGTTAAGGCTGTCAATCATCGGTGTGCCGTGTATTGCAAATCCAAACGTGTTTGCAGGTGGTCAAAGAACCAAACGCACAACAAAGATCAATGTTTTTAAACACATTGGGGACTGTGTTCTTGTCGAATGAGTTATAAACAAACTCGCCTAGCGGGTTTGAGGGGGATCCACTCACCGAGTTTTTTGCCTGTGCTACATTCTTTGGAATGGTGTGTGATCTCAGATGCCGACCGACTGTACTGAAGACTAGCGGAACCTGACATCTGACAATGATAGATGATAAACTGGAAGTTTCTCTTCTCCTCTGAGAAGATGGCATGTTTTAGCTTCCGTGATTGTGTCTTTTCTGAGCAGCTCACACTCATTTTGCAGTCCCAGCAGCTCCGAGGTGATCGTCGAAGAAGCGGAAACCTCGGATGCGGAGCAGCAGGAGATGGTCATTGACAAGCGTTGGGTGGTCGTGGACATTGCCGCTTGACGGAGCTCTATGGGTTGGCGGGACACGCTTTTCCCGAAAGATGTCATGTTTGGAACTGGTTTGTTTCCCTGGATCAGGGTCTCAAATCTAATTGCAAGTTGTGAAATTGAACGTTCAGCTCAAGTGAGCTTTTTGTTCATATCTACCGACCCATCGCAGCACGTCAACCATGGGACCTCCTAATATCAGATTGGTGTTGGGATGTGTTGGGTGATGCCAGATGGATTTGGTCTTTGGTTAGCCATGCACTCACATTCTAGCATGTGTGGGAATTGTGGCGGTTTGCAGTCAGCTCAGGTTTGGGGGTTGGAGCATGAGCATGTTTCCCTGCTTGCGTAAAAACACAGCGGTCCTTCCGGCTGCCACTTCACCCGGTTCAAACGTTTTTTGTTTTCTCCAGTCATGTTCGAGCAGTCCGCTGGTCAGAGAGTGAGTTGGTGAGTCCTGTTCAGATTTGGAGCTCAGGCCGCGGGTGGCATCGCATTGGCCCTGTTCTATTTCAACCTCCGCCGCTTGGAGTGGGAGAACGACCTGGCCCTTCCAATTGGGTGATTTTCAGCGAGCTGATCCAATTCCAGGCAATTAGGACCGGTGAAACAACCAGCTCTTGCAAACTAGCTCGAATTGCTCCTGTGGCAAGTCAATGTGTGGATCAATTGTTTTCCCCTGGGTAGGTGTTCTGAAGAAAGAATTCTTGTCTCTGGAAAAAGTCCAATGAAGGGGTTGGCGAAAGGACCACCTGGGAATATACAATCAGGTCACGTGGAGTACAAGGAACCGGACCCTGTGGCCGGCTCCATCCACACTGTGCAGAAAGTTCATGCAAAGTTCACCTGAATGAGAACAGCAGTGTTTTGTGGGCAGTTCTTTTTGAACTCCATTTACCGAGGAAAAGATAGATGGTGGAAACAGATGTGAACCACACCACTTCAGGTGGCCTGCACCGTTCACCCAAGATGCAGTTCGATGCAGCATGCCATGGAGAACACAAGCTGCTTGCCTGTGTTACACCGGACACGGCAGCACCCTGGGTGTGGGTGTGGGTCCGCAGACCTACAGGTCAATGACTCACTCACATTCTTTTGGGACATATTGTGTGCATAATCATATTAATATAGAGTCTAGACTCTAGACTTAGACTGACTGACTTAGGCTTGACCCTCAGATCGGTCAAGAAGTTTAGGTTGCCAACGAAAGAGCTCAAAGTCCTGATGCTGCAGAGCCCTGAATTTGGGGTCCCGTCCAGGTATGCACATTCCATTCTTGGGTTAGGCTTGAGAAGTCAGACCAACAAAATCCCACATTTGATCAATATCCAGCACTACTGGCCTTTGCATACGTACACTCTTGTATTTGCATCCTTGTCACTTTGTCACTGTTCCCAAGCAAGTTCCGAAACTACTGACTGACGCCTCCCCAGAGAGACCCTGGCCCAATTGATAAACTCTGGTTGATGACATTCTGCATGGTTTGGTGCCAACAGGGGCCGTTGGTTTGCTGTATATGGAGGTTGGAGAAAACGTCGCCAATTGAATCCTGGGATTGGTTGTTTTTGACATGGATGCACGATGTCGCATGTGTGTAGTCAGTATGGTGAGTTTATTTTGAGATGAGGGTATATTTGGTGTACTGTATCATATTTACTGTATCGTGGAAGTACTTTGCCAACGAGCATGTCCGACCAAGCAGCGGTGATGTCACTTCACCGAGGGGTGCTTGAGGAGCAGCATTCACATCTTCAACTTGAAGGTCTTTCGATGTGTAAGCAATGCACCTGGCTAGCCTGGCTGTGGCGGCAGGTTGAAGTTTGAGAGCACGTTTTCCCACGACAGAGGAGGTTTGCCACACATGTAGGGGCCAATACTCTTTCCAGTGTGTCCAACCTAGAAGTAAGAAACCGATGCTTGCACCAAAGCACATTCGGACCAGGTTGACTCTCGAGGAGTTCTTGGAAGGGGAATCTGGACAAGGCATGGCGACCAATGTGTCCGATTACGCTTCCTTGGCCGACTTCCTTCATTGGCTCGCAGGAGACATGGGAAAGAGAGAGGGAGAGAGAGAGAGAGGAGACACGGCATCTTTGGACTTCGTGCTGGATCAACCCTTTGTCGCGAGCCTTTTTCCAGACAGAATGACTTGCACAGATGCATCACTGATATAGGTTCACCGCATAGTTTGATGGCGCCCTTAATTGTACCACATGCGAAAGCAAGTTGTCCCAAACTTCAGGTCGTAAAGGTCCTTTGCGAATTCTACTGGGTGTGCTCATCGCCAGAGCTGTTGGAAGCCTTTGATCATCAATGTCCATGGCAAAAGGTTCTCAAGCTCATCTCAACTTGATAGGACTCTTGATAGGTCCAGCAATTCGTTTCAGATACTTGGTCTGTGTCTTTGTGAGTGATTGATGCCTGCTTACTGGTTAGGCTTCGAACAGGCAGTGCTATGCAAGTTGTCGCCATCAGGGTGGAATTGTCAGACCGTTAGATTTTAGTTTTGATGTATATATAATGTTGGACCCAAACTTTCATTGGTCGTGGCCCATCCCTACTACTGACCTTGCAGAGAAAGAGTCACTCGCACGCGGACCATGCCATGGTTGCAGGAAACTGTTGTAGTGAATATGGCATATCGGGCTTGAGAGCTCGAATGCTGGGCCCATTGAAAGAGCAAGATACAAGGTAGGTTTGGTTTTGTGGAATTTGTGTGCGTTTTGCGATCATAAACTTGGGGTAAGGTAAGGTCAGTTTAGAGAGAGAGAGAGGGCCAAACCAAGCATTGCAAAGCACTTGACACACAAAACACATGTAAGAAACACTAGTGTCGTTGGTATTTCTTGCCGGACTCAGACGGACCATCAATGCTATGGACGGACAATTGTTTCTGGCAGCTCAGACTGTTATGCAGGAGAAGATTTGGTCTTGCTGGCCTTCAAGGGCACTCGCCACGCGATTTTTCCACAACAACGTCGTGGACCTTTAGTGCATCTCGCCTTCGGCTGCCCTCCCTGACTGAAAGTCTCGGGGAGAATACTGTACTGTATCACTTTTCAGGTTTGTTTTAAGTCAATTGTTTGGCATGCAGTGATTTGATGCGATGATATTTAGTTATTCTGGACCTTTTTGCACCCTTTTGGCACTATATGCAACCAAAGCATGTTGCGCACGTGTGCACACTGGACACGGTGCGAGGCACGTGGTTTGTGGTGTCCTGGCGATTGGCGCCTTTCCACTCCTGGTGCAGCTGGGCGCTGAGCGGTTCTTTGGCTATCCCGACCTGGTGGAGTTGCCGCTGGGGCGCAGAAAAGGGACGGTTAGGATACTGTGATGGTTTTCAGATGTTTTCAGGGTGATATTTCTGGTAGAATTTGTTTGTTTGATTCATTTCGCGTCAGCGTTGATGGGCAAAGCGAAAGGCGGATGAGTGTGGAAACTCGATCTGTTGGAAGAACATGGAAGAACTGTTTGCTGAAGCCTAATTTACCTGCAGTATCCTACAGTTTTAGAAAGGAGCAATGCTTTTTTGAAGTATAACTTCTCGCGATCATACTGTGAGCTGATGAGGAAAAGCACCACTGGGACCATCGCAGAGATCGAACTCGATGGAGTGATGGAGAGACCCAGTGACCAAGAACGCAAGTGGAAGGAGTGTGAGTGAGACTCCCTTTTGGATGTTTAAATGCATGGTCAGAATATTTTTTAGAAAAAGACATCAGAAACGAATAATACAGGACAAGAAAGGATTTGTTCTATTTTTCCTCGCCAGTGTTTTTAATGGGTTCGGATATTAATGGATCTTCACTGGGCAACTCTTGGGAAGACCAGCTGTTTCCTGCTGGGTTTGGCAGGACGCACGCGATAGCCTACAGAGCTCGAGTGCCGACATGTTCAATTGTTTGTGTTCAGCTTATTCCTGATCTTTCTGAGCTATGATGGGTCAAAGGCAGTGTCAAAGACAGATCGACATAGAGGAATGTTGCGCAGATTGCCCTGGCTTGGGGCCAGTTCACCCCCTGAGGCTGGTCACTGCAGACTTTGCAGACGCTGGTGAACCCCAAGGCTCGGCGAAAGAAGTTTGTCTTCCTTGGCGATGAGATGGCGGCGAGACTCCAGGCTGCTCCCGGCCAAGCGTCATTCGCAGTGGATGGGTATGGCCTTACGAGGATCGATGCGGGATCTTAGAGTTGGCTGAGTGCCTCCCAACCAGGACACTCTGAATCCCAAGGGGCAATCATGTTTAGTCTCTTTGTTCAAGTCACCCCAATACATTGTAAACAAACAAGCAAACAAAAAGACAATCATAGTTTAGGACGCCCATTGGCGCATTTTCGAGGAGGTCATGTGGTAATGGGATGATGGGTGTCCTTGCTTCCGAGTTGAAGCAGTATGAGTGGGTCATGTCCAGATGGCGTCTCCAAGTACATGAAATTAATAGTTGAAGTCAAAGTACGGTCTTTGCCGCCTTAGCCATTACTGTACTTAGTTGGTGGGTTGGGGCCAGTTGGTAGTTGGTAGCATGGAATTCGGCAAATGAATAGACAGAACTGGACCCAATGTTTATCCTTGAGGGGCTGAAGGGGGCTGTTCCAAGATGTTGCAGGCTTTAGTTTGGACTGGGACTAGCACACCTAAGAAGACAATGATCATTACGGGAATGAAGACTCAATTGAGAAAGTACAGTATCTGAATTCGACAGCTGCTGTGTCCTGTGCTAGTTTCCGCAACTGAGAGGTGAGGACAACTTACCAGAAGACCTCGCCACTTGGCCTTCCCGCTGTCAGGGGTGTCTGGCGTGTCCTCTCAATGGCTTATTCATGAAACTACCTTCCCTAAGAAGGACCGGGGTGTCCAGGGTATCCTTACTAGTCAGGGGTGTCCGGGGTGTCCTTCTATTTATGGCGATCACTATGTGTCCCTTGTTGAGACCTTCCCCAACAACTGAGGACGGTTCAGCTTTGCTGCCGCAATGGAGAGATTGGACAGATTCCCTGTAGCAGTGGGAAGCTCAATCATCGCTTGATCAAGTAACTTGGATCAAGTGCAGATGAACTTTTCTGGTCCAATTGGCAGCGATTGGACCATGGACAATGGATGGCAGTCATGGCAGTGAAAATAATGCTGATTCACCCAGTTATAGATTTCAACTTCCCAACCAGTGCCTGATGAATTTGCAACCCGGGTCCCTGATATATATATATATATGTATCTATATAGTCCCCAAGGAGACAACTAATGTACAGAATTGCAGGGGGACATGGTGTGCGTTCAGGGACCATGTCCAACGAAGCTACAATGTACCTGCAACCCAATTTGTAAGCCTCGCTGGTTGTCAACTGTTGACCACGCTGTTACCCTCCTCTTCTCGTAAAGTGCTAGTGCGTCGTCAAAAATTACTGTTGATACGGACTCCTTCACCTTGCTGTTCCTGCGAGTCAAGGTCTAATGTAATCAGCAACTAGTTCTCCGGAGTTTCCAAACTGACAGAGCTCTTGCGAGCATGGATCTAAGTGTGTGTGTGT